ATTGTAAAAAGAGACAATGAAGGTCATTATATAATGATAAAGGGATCAATTCATCAAGATCATATAATACAGCTGGGCTCAGTGGCTCAGCCTGTAATCCTGTGCCTTTGGGAAGCTGAGGTGAGTCGACTGCCTGAGCCCGCGGGTTAGAGACCCACCTGGGCAACTTGGTGAGACCTCATCTCTACAATAAATCAAAAAAATTAGCCGGACGTGGTAGCGTACACCTGTAGTTCCAGCTACTTGGAAGGCTGAGGTGGAAGGATTGCCAGAGCCCAGCAGGTCGAGGCTGTGGTGGCCAGGAGCGGCCACTGCACTCTAGTCTGGGTGACTGAGTGAGATTCCAACTCAAAAAAAAAAAAAAGATCATATAACACTTCTAAATATACATGTACCTAACGAGGGAGCACCTACATATATAATACAAATAGTGTTAGCTCTAAAGGGAGAGATAGAGTCCAATACAAGAATGGGTGGGGAACATCAACACCCACTCTCAGCACTGGACATCTAGACAGAAAAATAAGAAAGAAATATTAGATTTAAATTGCATTTTAGACCAAATGAACCTAAGAGACATTTATAGAACATTTTATCCAAAAACTGAAGAAAACACATTCTTCACATCAGCACATGCAACATTCTACAGGATAGATCAATATGTTAGGCCACAAAACAAAACTCAACAAATTTAAAATAAATGAAATCATATCAAATATATTCTCAGACCACAATAAAATTAGAAATCAATAACAAGAGGAATTTTTGAAAACTACACACATATGAAAATTAAACAACATCCTCCCAAATAACTACTGGGTCAATGAAGAAATTTAAAAGGAAATTAAAAAATTATCTTTAAGAAAATGAAAATGGAAACATCCAAACCTATGGAATACAGCAAAATCAGTGCTAAGAGTAAAGTGTAGAGTAATAAACATCTACATTAAAAAGTAGAAAGACGCCTTTGGGAGGCTGAGTTGAGTGGACTGCCTGAGCCCGCGGGTTCGAGACCCGCCTGGGCAGCGATACCTCATCTCTACAATAATAATAAAAAAAAAATCAGCCGGGCATGGTAGCGCATGCCTGTAATTCCGGTTACTCGGAAGGCTGAGGCGGAAGGATCACCGGAGCCCAGCAGGCGAGCCTGCAGTGGCTGGGAGCGACCACTGCACTCCAGTCTGGGTGACAGAGTGAGACTCCAACTCAAAAAAATTAAAAAAAAATTAAAAAAATTAAAAAAATAAAAAAATAAAAAGTAAAGATTCAAATAAAGATTCTTACAATACACCTCAAGGAACTAAAAAATTTGTAAAAACTAAAATCAATAGAATAAAAGAACTAATAAAGATCAGAGCAGAACTAAATGGAATAGAGACTAAAAGAACAATATTAAGAATCAATGAAATGAAAAATTGCTGTTTGAAAAGATAAACAAAATCAATAAACCACTACTAGCAAGACTAACCAAAAAAAAAGACAGAAAACCTAAATAAGTAAAATCAGAAATAGAAAAAAAAGATGTCACAATGGATACCACAGAAATACAAAGGCTCATCAGAGTCTATCATGGACAAATTAAAAAGCTTAGAGGAAACTGATACATTCCTAGACATATATAACTTACTAAGATTGAACCAGGAAGATATAGAAAATCTGAACAGACTAATAATGAGTAATGAGATTGAATCAGTAATAAAAGTTTTTAATAAAGAAAAGCCCACACCTGGATGACTTTACTGCCACATTCTATCAAGCTCACAAAGAACTAACGCCAATTCTTCTCAAACTACTCCAAAAAATTAAAAAGGAGGGAATTCTTCCTAACTCATTCTATGAGACCATCACTACTCTGATACCAAAATCAGACAAAGACATAACAAAAAAGAAAACTACAGGCCAATATCCCTGATGAACATAGATGGAAAAAATCCTTAACAAAACACTAGCAAACAGAATCCAATGACACATCAAAAAGTTAATACATCACGATCAAGTTGGATTTATTCCAGGGATGCACGGATGATTTAACACATGCAAATCAATAGACATGATGCATCATATCAACAGAATGAAGGGTAAAAACCATATGATCATCTCAACACATGCAGAAAAGCATTTGATAAAATTCAACATCTTTTGTAATAAAAACTTTAAAAATTAGGCAAAGAAGGAACATACCCCAACACAATAAAGTCCATCAATGACAAGTCCACAGCTTTCCTCTAAGAACTGGAACGAGACAAGAATGCCCATTTTCCCCACTCCTATTCATCATAGTACCAGAAGTTCTGGCCAGAACAATCAGGCCAGAAAAAGAAATAAAGGGCATCCAAATTGGAAAAAAGAAAGTCAAAATGTCTCTCTTTGCAGATGACATGAAATTAAATACAGAAAACTCTAAAACTCCACCAAAACACTCTTAGAATACACAAATTCAGTAAAGTTGCAGGATACAAAAATCAACATAAAAATCAGTAGCATTTCCATACACCAATAACAAACTAGCTGAAAAAGAAATCAAGAAAGCAATCCAATTTATAATAGCTACAGAAAAAAATACCTTGGAACAAATTTAATTAAGGAGGTAAAAGACCTCTAAAAGTAAAACTACAAAACACCGATGAAGGAAATTGAAGAGAACACCCAAAAAATGGAAAAGCATCTCATGCTCATGGATTGGAAGAATTAATATTGTTAAAATTACCATACTACCCAAAGCAATCTACAGAGTCAATGCAATACTTATCAGAATACCAATGACATTTTTCACAGAAATGGAAAAACAATCCTAAAAAATTCATATGGAACCACAAGATATTCCAAATAGTTAAAGCAATCCTGGACAAAAAGAACAAAGCTGGAGACATCACACTATCTGACTTCAAAGTATATATTCAACAAAGGTGCCAATAACATACATTGGGGGAGAGGGCACCTTCTTCAATAAACGATGCTGGGAAAACTGGGTATCTATTTGAAGAAGAATGAAAATAGATCCCTCTCTCTCACCATATACAAAAATTCACCCAAAATGGACTAAAGACTCAAACATAAGACCCTCCAAAACTATAAAATTACTAGAAGAAATGCTTCAGGACATTGACATAGGCAAAGATTTTATGGCTAAGACCCCAAAAGTGCAGGCAACAAAAACAAGAATAGACCAGTGAAACTACATTAAACTAAAAAGCTTCTGCATGGCAAAGGAAACAATTAACAGAGTGAAGAGACAACCTACAGAATGGGAGAAAACATCTGCAAACCATACATCCAAGAAGGGACTAATATACAGAATATACAAGGAACTCCAACAGTTCAACAGCAAATAATAATCCTATCAAAAAGTAGGAAGAAGGGCAACCCCTCGGGTCCCCTCCCGCTGTGGGAGCTTTTCTGTCTTCTCAATAAATCCTGCTTTCTCAAAAAAAAGAAAAAAAGAAAAAAAAAAGTGGGAAGGGGGTCTGAATAGACATTTCTCAAAAGAAGACATATACATGGCCAACAGGTACATGAAAATTTTTCAATGTCACAAATCATCAGGGAAATGCAAATCAAAGCCACAATGCGATTTCATCTCACTTGAGTTAGATTAACTATTATCAAAAAGACAAAAAATGACAAATGCAAGTAAGGAGGTGAAGAAAGGGGAACTCTTATACACTGTTGTTGGGAATGTAAATTAGCACAGCTGTTATGGTAAACAGAATGGAGGTTTCTCAGAAAACTAAAAGTAGAGCTACCATATGATTCAGCAATCTCACTATTGGGTATATATTCCCCAAAAAAGGAAATCAGTACATCAAAGGAATTCCTGCAACCCCATGTTTATTGCAGCACTATTCACCAATAATAAACTAGCTGAAAAAGAAATCAAGACATGGAATAATACTAAGTGTTTATCAATAGATGAATGGATCAAGATAATGTGGTATATATACACAATGGAGTATTGTTCAGCCATAAAAGAATAAAATCCTGTCAGCTGCATGCAGCAACATGGATGGAAATGGAGGCCATTATGTTAAGTGAATTAATCCAGGCACTGAAATATAAATATCCCATGTTCTTATCCCATAAAAGCTAATCCCATGTTTTAGCTCATATGTGGGAGCTAAAATATTGATTGAGGCAGAGAGTAGAATGATGGTTACCAGAGGCTGGGAAGAAGGGGGGGTTATGAAGAGAGGTTGGTTAATGGGTCCAAACCACACAGTTAGATAAGAGGAATAAGTTCTAGTGTTCAATAGCACAGTTAGGGTGACTATAGTTAATAGCAATATATCATATATTCTAGCTAGAATAGATTTGAAATGTTCACAACACAAAGAAATGATCAGTGTTCAAGGTGATGGAAATCCTAAATGCCCTGCTTTGATCACTTCACATTCCACATTGTATGCATGTATTAAAATGTCACAAAATATATTCTTCCCTCAAAGAAAGCTCCAGGCCCTCATGGTTTCACCAGTCTCCTAACACCTGAAGATACTGTTTCAGATACTAGAAAAAGAGGAAACACTTCCCAGTTCATTTTATGAGGCCAGCATAACACTGATTCCTAAATCACCTAGAGAGATTTTGTCCTGGGGCTCCACATGTAATATAAAAATGTGATCAGAGATTTGCCAGAGATTATGTTGAACCTTCCTTGTAATTTACAAACCTTGCAATTTGTTAAACTCCCCTGCATTCCAAAATAGGCTGTAATTCTCTTATTAATAATTTACTTCTTTGGGCTGAGTATTGTCTTTGTAATTAATTGTCCCCTTATCTCTTGAACAATTCCTCTACTTGTCTGGCTGTACATTAAGTCTTATGATGTATTTGAATATGAACTTAGACCACTCTTCTCTGAGGAAAGTAGAGTCATGGAAGATGTGTATTGGCTGTTGGATGATGTTGCTTAAGGCCAGCCATGGTTTTTTGGTATTCAGGCTTTATTTTCAATCCCACAACCTCACCTCCACAAGCTGCATGCCCCACGAGCGTTTTCATACCTGATAGAAGTCACCCACTTGCCGTACATAACCAGCCACTTCATTATCAGATTCAAAGATCTTCCAAACTTTTTTTTCCGCCTTCCTGTATTCTTGGGACCCCTTCCAGTTCATGGCCATCAAGGAGCGCTCAGTCAGGGAAGCTGCCACAATGATGTCCAGTTGGCCATTGTAGATAAGAACCTGAAATTAAGTCAAGTCATCAGCAAATGCAGGGTTCAGAAGGTGAGGCTAGTGAATCTATCTGGGCACAAACAGTGAGCTTGCAAGAGAGAGAAGGAAACATGAGCTTCTCTGATAGGGTGCTCAGAGAAGCCAGCTCAGTGGATCAGAGAGGTCACTTTCTTCCAGTTAGCCAAACAAACCAGCAATATGAAATAAATTCAAGCCTTGTTTTCACCATTGTGTTCTTCAAAGATTAAAGGCCTCTCTTGGTTGCAAAAACATTTGTGCTGTATGACTTAGTGATATGTACAAGGGGAAAACCCCACCCAAAAAACAGAATTATCTTTTGGAGGACTGGCCCCTTGTAGTACACTCAGAATTTGTTCCTACGGGTCAATAGTCAACCAAAGTTTTTATCTGGAAGTTTTGAGAATCAGGTTGTGTCACAATTTTATTCTTTTATGGCTGAATAGTACTCCATTGCATCACAATTCACGGGAGGAAACATCCTGAGTTGTGGCAAACAGTTTCTTTTATTATGACACCGCACCTGCCTACATCGCACTGCATGTCCAGCAGTTTTTGACCGAAAACAGCATGACCTCCGTGCCCCATCCTCCCTTTTCACCTGATCTCACCCCAAGCAACTTTTTGTTTGTTTGCCGGATGAAAAAAGTCCTCAAAAGGAAACGTTTTGCCAGCCAAAGAGGTGAAACAAAAGCAGAAGCACTAAAAGGCATAAAAACCGACAAGTTCAAAAACTGTTTTGAGCAGTGGCAAAAGTGTATCGATAGGTGTATTTGCATCCAACAGAGTACTTTGAAGGTGACTAAAGTTTAAACATGGGATATTGTAAAGTCATTAAAAAAGTTTCACTGAACCATGAATGGGAAATGCTTATCACATAATGTTAAGTATGAAAGCTGAAAGTTAAATATAAGGTATATCACAATTCTGACTGTATAAAACAAGGCACACACATTCACATAAATGAAATTAAAAGTTTTTAAAAAATTAATACAGTTGATCAATCTAGAAGGTGGAAATCAGTGATTTCCTCCTTTGTTTTCTATTCTTATGTTATTTCTATGCAACCTACACAGTATTAATTATCACTAAGTATTGCCACTCTGCTTCCAACAAAGAGGTTTGCCTCCACTCCATGTTACCTTTGATCTATTTGGAGGCTCTGATTTGGCCCAAGTGGAGACCTTTGGGTGAGTCCTCAAATTGGATATAAAATGTTTCATCGCATATGTTTCCATCTCTGCCTTCATGGTGTAGGCTTCTTAAAAGGCTTAAACATAATTTAAAAGCCCAGGACTTTTACACACTCCAAATCCTCAAGCAGCAGTGGGACAGGATTCAGACCAAGATGAAAGAACCCCGGGCCCCCACTGCAGAAACACGGGGCCTTTTATGTTTCTCAGTCACCGTCACCACCCCCACTCTCCTAACAGAAACCCAAAGGAAAAAATTCTGATAGATTTAAAGCCTCTTTAAAAAACCCAACCGAACTACAGCAATAAAATATTTGCATTGTTTATACAGAGAAATTACCTCAAAGACCTTCAGTACTTATGGTCTATGCAAAATCTCCTGCAGTTCTGTTGGCCAATAGTATGGAAACAATTATATATGATCGGTACCAGCAAAGAAGGCTTAAATACCCCACCACTCCAGGGAACCCTGCTTATGACTGATTAACAGAGATCATCATGTATAAAGCAATTCCACTTCCAGAATTCAGTAAAAAGAAGCTGATTAATCAACGAATATGAGGACATCTATTTCTTTTTCTTCTCCATGGTCACCACATGTATTTTCGCCCGTTAAGTGTCCCTCTCAGCTAACTTTACTGACTGTTAACACTATATTTTGAAATCAATGTGAATTTTTTTCATCCTTACGGGACAACAGCAAAATCCATAGGTTACAGCAAAAAACAGGTTTATGCATACAGCATGACAGTCAATGTTTGTTGGACTGAATTGAAGTGAGACTCTCTCTCAGCTATTTTCCTGGTTATTATTCAAGACATCATAAACAAGAGCACCAACTCTCTGGACATCAAGGCAGTGAAGATGTGAACTTCATCATCTTTCACATGTGATGTGCAGGAGGCCTACTTTTGGGGGCAAATGGAAATCTTTCCTTTGCAATGCAAGGAAAACATTTTGAACTTCTAAAGGACACATGAGTCAAATGCAAGAAAAAAGAAACCAGATGAATGATTAAGCGAAGTCGTTTCAGAGCTGGCATTTAAGGTGACCAGCTTTAAATATAAGAATTCTAAAACTTTTATCTTGTCTAAATGTCACATTTACTCTCATCAACCACTACAGGAATACCTCATTTGGATGCCACTAGGCTGGATGAATGGGTGAGATATCTCAGGATCCAGTGGCAGGACATGAGAAACAAGTGGGCATGGCATAGGGTGGACCTGAAGCCAAGGGCACATGTTGGCTACACACATACTGATCGTCAGAGCAGCTCCAGGGCAGGACCTTAGTCTCTACAGGTTGGCTAATCACAACCAAATGTATGACACTCACCCCACTTCTTCCCCGGGAGGGTGACTAACTGGTCTGGTTTGCCCTGACCTGAGGTGCTGCCATGCTAAAATTTGGACAGTCTGGCGCACATCTACCCCTTAGGTTTGCCAGTATTTTGAGCAATAAGGTCTAAAGACAGAGGGGAGGAAACAGAGATGAATGAAGCTTTTAGCTATACTTCCCTTGTCAATAGTGATTCAAACAAAACAAGAAGCAAGAAAAGAGATGGCTGAGTTGGTTTCCAACAATGCACTGGGCAGTTCCCTAAACACTACTTCCTCACTTTCCTTTCTGGTCAGCTGTGAGGCCTCAGTTAAGGAGCAAAGGTATTCCTTTTAGAGACTTGCATTTTACTCCTTAGAGGGCTGGCTGGTTAGCTCATTGAAATTGATGGTCATGCAAGGACATGGAAAAATGCTTCTCTTAGGAAAAAAAGATCAGTGAAAAACTGTGACTCCACTGATTGTACTCTATAATGACCATATTTTTAAAACATGCTTCAAACTTGGGGAAAGAATACATCAAAATACTAGCAGTGAACGTAGCTGAGGCATGAATGATTGTTTTAGTTTGACTTTTTCCTAGTTTTTTGATAAATGTGGTCAGAACGCTTTTACAATGAAAACAATAAGAAAATGAACAATAACAGTTGGACACCTCAATGTGGCAAAAGAAGGACCTTTTGGTGGAATAATTTGTGACAATTCAAATGCTACCAGCTCTCAATTTTTCATAACAACTAAGTAAAAAACTTAACTTTGGTTCAATAGACAATCTTTAAAAACTCGTTTTAGAATTCACGCATTTACAAGAGGTGGCATTAGATAATCTGGATTACAAGTATCTTTTTTTTTCTTTGTTTAAAGGCAGTGTTGAGAAAGGCATTTTTATTATGTGTTTGGTTTTTTTTTAACTTTTAAATGCTTTCATGTGCATATGGCTTTAGACTTGTGCTGCTTCACAAGGTCAGGAAGAGAAGCATTTACATTGCCCGCCTCCATTTCACTGCTATGGAAACTGCCATACAGTGAGGCGCCAGGATGAGTCCTTGGTCCTGGGCTTCTAAACTTCTACCCAAAACTTTTCCTTAAGAAAGGTGCCAGGTTGGGCATAGTGGCTCATGTCTATAATCCCAGCACTTTGAGAGACTGAGGCAGGAAGATCGCTTGAGGCCAGCAGTTCGAGACCAGCCTGGGCAGCATAGCAAGACTTTGCTTCTACAACAACAACAACAACAATGATAATTTGTTGGGCATGGTGGTGCCCTGTATTCCCAGCTACTTGGGAGGCTGAGCTGGAAGGATTGTCTGAGCCCAGGAGGTGGAGGCTGCAGTGAGCCATGATCATGCCAGTGCACTCCAGTCTGGGCTACAGAGTGAGATTCTGACGAAGGAAGGAAGGAAGGAAGGAAGAGAAGGAGGGAGAGAGGGAGAAAGGACATTAATTTCCTTCCAACCAACAAAAATTTGTTGACTTTCTACATCATATATATATTAGTCAGCATCTCACTCTGTCACCTAGACTGAAGTTCAGGAGCGTTATCAGAGCTCACTGAAGCCTCGGTCTCCTGGGCTCAAGTAATCCTGTCCCACCTCAGATTCCCAAGTAGTTGAGACTATAAGCACATGCCACCACGTCTGGCTAATTTTTTATTACTTTTTGTAGAGATGAGGTCTCACTATATTGTCCAGGCTGATCTCGAGCTTCTGGGTTTAATAAACAATCCTCCTGTCTCGACCTCCCAAAGCACTAGGATTACAGCCATGAACAACTGCACCTGATCTCGCAGCTAAATGTCTAGTGCTACTTCAGATCTCTGGAAACTGAAAGTTGGTTGAATATGAGACAGAGTTCCTATCTCCAGTTCAGAAACAATCTTGGCCTGTTTGTCCAGCTGTGATGACATCTCTCGGTGATCTCTCACTTTGGCTCTATGGACAGGGATGTGTGGGAAGGCATTACTCACAGTTGGCAGGGAGTGGCCTTGATAAATAGTTGTGGAAGAGAACCCTCCTAGTGTTGGCTCCATCTCCAGGCCTTATCCCATGCCTGGCAACCCCATAGAGTCTATTGACAATTACAAGGTGAGGATTCTGCTCTTTAAAGATCTTGTGTGGTGCTATATAGTGATCATCTGCTGTTTTGTTTGCCGAGGTCCACGCTCCCTTCTCCTGGTAACTGTCTTCAGGCAACCCATGTCCAATGGCCACAGCCTTGATGGGAGCTGTCAATCACAGTATCCTGCCTCCTCTGTGCAAGGGATGAGCCTGTGATCTAAACTAGGGCACTCAAATGTTCTTTCCCTAGAACTTGAATTGTAGTCAGAGGGACAGAGTTCTCTGATGAGTCTGCCCATTCGTTGTTTTTCTTTTTGTTTGTTTGTTTAATTGATTTTTTGTCTGTTTTGTCAGTCTCACCCTGTCACCCAGGTTGGAGGGCAGTGGCACAATCATGGCTCAC